GTTTAGTCCACATGGTGTGGGGGATCACGGGGAAAACAGTGTAGCACAGAGAAGGCAAATAGTGACTGTGGCATCTTACTACACTGATGGACAGTGCCTGCTTTGGGGTATGCGTGGGGACTTGATAATATGGGTAAATGTAGTAACCACATCGTTTTTTCACGTGAAACCTTCATAAGAGTGTATATCAATAATACCTTAATAAATCTAAAAAAAATGTTTTTGCCTTATTTATCTTCAGTGATCAATACATATACAATTTGGTTACTTTTGATAGTCATTTATGTCCTTCCGATTTCCCTAAACTAACATACTTTGAAGAAAATGTCTGAGAATCTACTGTTATCTTATTTTGAAACTATATTGAGGAGAAAATTAATACCAACTAGAATTAGAGCAATTTTAAAGCTTTTCTTATTTTTTATGATATAAAGGAACTTTTAGAAATCTCTCTTTAATTGCATGTTCTCCCAGCTTAACAGAGGTTGGCTTGTATAGTTAATTTCTACAAATCAGTTATTATTTTTAAAAAGGCAGTGTTCCTATAGACCTGCTAAGCCGGCTGTATGGCGGTTTTTAAGAGAAAGTGTTAAAAGAAGTGGCCCTTTCTCAGGCGTAATGGATATTGCATGCATTTTGAATCTCCTGAGCATTTAGGTCTTGCCTAGAGGTCACTTTTCCTTTGCTGAACAGCTTCGGCCTACCGTCTAGTACAGAGAGAGGTTTAGAACTTGACTTTGGACCCAGACATGGGGTCCAGTTCTGGACCGTACCACACCCTAGCTGGCTGGGCATATTGCCAGACCTTTCTGTAAGCCTCAGTTTCTATAAAAAGTTGACATACCTAAATCATAGGCTTGTTCTAACATATGAAGGAGATACTGTTTATTAATCACTTGGTCCATGTCTGGACCATAGGATTTAACTTTTAATTTACATTCATTTCATCTTTTTATTGCCTCATAATCCATCCAGTCTCACTCCTCTATCCCACCTAATCTTCTCCCCAAGTCCTTAGACCAGTAGAATTGGGGCATTTCTCAGGTCTGTAGATCTTAACACCTGAGTGAAGCTAGTATGTACTTGCAAGACTTCAACAGACTTGGTTTCTGACACATGATAAACTAGAATTTAAAAATTCTCTTTAAGGTTCTAAGACAATGCAGTGTGAATTAGTTCTATATATGTATTGTACTTATAACTAAACTCAGTAAAATAATAACTGTTTATGTTCTATATAGCTTCACAGTACATGATAAAATTAATCATGAGTTTTTTGGGAGGGGGGCCACTGAACAGCCAGAATCAGCCATCACAATTTTCTCAGATTAGATTAGTTTCTTAAATTATTTGGACAGTAATTTTGGGGGTATAATCTCAGGAGGAAAAAAAATAATGAGTTAAGAATGGGAGGTTCCAGGCTGGCCGCTGACAACTCATCTCCTAGTCTTCCACCTGAAGTTCTTCCTTTACCTTTAAGCAGTTTCATTTGACGTTCATCAGCCCCTCATTCCTTGTTCATCCTGGTAGAGAGATACACCAGGGGAAAAAAGGGGTTTCTCAAAATTTTTATTCCTATTACAGAAATTCTTTCAAATGATTGCTTCACCTTTTCTAAGCTTGGTTCGTCAAAATTGTAGACAGGTAATTGGAAAATAAAAATTGTGAAGTTAGCCCCAAAGACCAAACAACATTGCCTTTGTGAAGTGAAACTGATCTCTGTCTGTTCTTTCAGATTAACAACATGAAAACCAAATTTAAAGAAACAATCGAGAAATGTGATAATCTGGAACATAGACTAAATGATCTCCTAAAAGAAAAGCAGTCTGTGGAAAGAAAGTAGGTATAATTGGTCTTCTTTTAAATTAACTTTTTTATTGCAGTGGGCTCCATAAACAGGTAATTTCCTTTATTCCTCTGGAAATACTTAACTTTTCAAGTGTGTGTATCACCAGGTTTTTGGGGGTCTCCCTGTATATGGAGCAAACTTACTGTGATTTCCTGTTTATTAAAAAATGCGGGTTTCATGCCAGATGGATGTCATATGTAATGCAATGTTCTCTCCTGGTGTCTGCTTACGGTATGCACAAATATCTTCCATTTTTGCCTATCGAAAGCAATTCCCTTGTGCCCAGAGCTGCTCTGTGCCACAGGGGCTAAGAACTGGCAGTTAGGAAAGAGACTGAATCAAAGCTGGAGATGGCATGTGTTCTGGCCTTGGACATGAATTAAAGGCTAAAGGTGTTGAATATGGAGCAAAAACTCAAGAACAACATGGCAGGAACATGCTCTACTACTGTTACTTGGAAAGATAGTTGCTACTGATCGAAATTGCCTTTCTAGTTTAAGTTATACTCACAAAAATAATCAGAGTTTTACCCCCAAACACATGGGTGAAAAATTAACTTCAGGGAGTAATTGTTCCTTTAAAAAAATTTTTTTTATCTTCATTTTGGAATAAACTTAAATCAACAGGGGTTGCCAGGATTTCTCATATGCCCTTTACCTGTTTTCCCCCACTATTAAAAGTTGGGTTTTTTTAAATAGTTCTTTTATTGCGGAGAAAATCTTATATAACATAAGATTTGTCATTTTAGCTGTTTTTAAGTGTACAGGTTAGTGGTATTAAGTATGTTCACAATATTGTACAACTCTCCTGTTGCCAGAATTTTTCATCACCCTACTCTTTACCGAAAGTTTCTTTTTTTTTTGAGAGGGCATCTCTTATATTTATTGATCAAATGGTTGTTAACAACAATAAAATTCTATATAGGGGACTCAATGCACAATCATTAATCAACCCCAAGCCTAATTCTCAACAGTCTCCAATCTTCTGAAGCATAACGAACAAGTTCTACATGGTGAATAAGTTCTTACATGGTGAACAGTGCAAGGGCAGTCATATCACAGAAACTTTCAGTTTTGATCACGCATCATAAACTATAAACAATCAACAAAAGTTTCTTAACTGTTGTAAAAACAACACTACAGCATTAATGGAAATAAAAATAAAAAATTGATCCTATACTTTCAGCACCCTAATAAATTGAACTGTACTAAAGAATTAAAAAGTTAAAACTGAAAGTTTTCTACCCCCCCCACCCATATCCCTCTCTCTAGAGATTACCATTATTAATGGTCCCAGTGACTGTTTATTCTACCAGATCCTTTGCTGTACCTGTGTAAACATCTCACACACATTAATCTTATTTTTCTACAAAAATAGAAAAATGTTAGGTATTCTACTTGGTAAAACATTCTGTTCTGGAGATTTTCATACTGGCATGTCTAGGTCTATGTTGATCTTCATAGCGGCTGCATGGTATTCCACTGTATGGAGGTCCCAGAATAATTTTAACCAGTTCCCTATGGATGGACATTTAAGTTGTTTCAAGTTTTACACTACTGTAAACAATGTTGGAGTGAGCATCTTCCTCCATGCTTCTTTTAGCACAATAGTGAGTATATCTATTTTACAGAATAAATTACTAGAAGTAGAATACTGTGTCAGAAGGTATGTGAAATTTTGATTTTCATCAGTATTGCCAAGTTGACATCCAAAGAGTTTGCACCAGTTCACACTCCAGTGCCAGTGTGTGGGAGTGCCTCTTCCGTCTGAGCTCGTTGGCATTCTGATACATAAAATGGTACCTCAGATGGTGTTTTGATTTGTAATTCTTTACTTATGAGTAAGATTGAGCATCAAGAGTAGGGCACTCCCTATTCTTGAAAACCCTTCTCCAGCAAATGCAGTGAGGTCAGAGCACTTGACTCTCCAAGAATGTCACTTTTTCTCATAACTTCTTTATCATAGCTGTCATTTCCAAGCCAACTATTTAACCACTGACAGCAAAAGAGAGAGGCAGTTGTTTTACTACAAGTCACAAAATAGTTTCTGCTACTGAAAAATTTCTGATGCTTAAAAAAAATTGTCTTGAAGCTACGCTTGAGTTAAGTAGAGCAAAATTCTTGCTTGGTGGAGCTGTTGCAGTGGCAGCAAACAGGTTCCCCTCACCATGGGAGGGAGGGGTCCACCCTCACTGGATTCTGAGATCATGGCTCCTTTGTTCAGTCCCAGAGCAAGAGGGGGAACTGTGTCAGCAGATGGAAAACGTGCTTTGTCTTTCTTTTTTTGCAAAAGGTGCACTCAGCTAAACACAAAAGTGGCCAAACTCACCACGGAGCTCAAAGAGGAGCAGGAAATGAACAAGTGCTTGCGAGCCAATCAAGTCCTCCTACAGAACAAGCTGAAAGAGGAGGAGAGGGTGTTGAAGGAGACCTGTGACCAGAAGGACCTGCAGATCACTGAGATCCAGGAGCAGCTGCGTGATGTCATGTTCTACCTGGAGACACAGCAAAAGATCAACCATCTGCCTGCAGAGACCCGTCAGGAGATCCAGGAGGGACAGATCAACATTGCCATGGCCTCGGCCTCCAGCGCCCCCTCCTCAGGGGGCAGTGGGAAGCTGCCCTCCAGGAAGGGCCGCAGCAAGAGGGGCAAGTGACTTTTGGAGAAACAGATGGCCTTGAGACTTTTCCCTGTCACAGCGAGGCGTGCAGGGGTGTTCAGCTGAATGTGAGGGTAAACCCTAAATAAGTACCAGTGAGTACCAATCTGCAGTTGTTTGGATCTCTCATTGGTTAGTTTGTGGTGTAATTAACTGGAGGATTGATGCCTAGGAGAGTGATGGGAAGGGGCAGTGTTTCAGAGGTGGCTGCATTTTTCCACCGTAGTAGTTCACTAACCTCAGACATTCTAATGACCATTTTGCCTTCCTACCTGATAGATGCCCCAACTCTGCTGTGCATTTTTCCGTTGTATTTATTGACGTGGTGTATTTGATGTTCACTTCTGGCATCTGTTTAAGATGTCGCGTTTTTTTGGTAACCTCAGAGGTAACATTACCTAGCACTAAAATGCCATACCTCCCTGGGGCCATAGCTGCTCTAAAGAGAGGCTGGCATTGGCTGTTGAGGATCACTGCAAATTCCCTAGCATTGATCTCACTTCAGTGTTGCCCCTGCCTGCCTCTGGGAAATTGAAGAACTGGTTAACTGTCACAGGAAGAGAGGCCGGCCTTGTAAATCAGGCACTGGCTTGTCACCATCAGCCATCTCTTCTTGCTCTAGGGCTAGCCAGGAAAAACAAACAACCCGGGGCAGGCTGAGTAGAACCAGTGTAGGAAAAATGGTGGTGTTTCCACTTTGTTTGTTTTTGATGACTCCACACCTCATGAACCTCAAACAGGCAGGAGGCTTAATTGTTGCTCTAAGATTCAAATCTCAGAGTGGGTTTCCTAGCATCTAGCAGGAATAAGCAGGCAGATTTCTCATCCCTGTGAAAATGTAGAGTGAAGTCTCTGACTTGCAGCAGATTGTGTATTTTGCTGGGATCAGTATTTTCTGACTGTTTACAAAAGATTGGTTTGCATGTTCAGGTTGTGGCTGGAGGGGGCATGGGTTTATTTTCAGTTACGCTTTCATGATAGAGCCAAAGGCTGTTTCTAAATCAGAAAATTAGAATTTTAACAGAGCCCCTTTAAAACAGTCACATAATGCTTGTTGTGAGCCAATAGAGGGGCTGTGTACTCTCTAGAAAAATAAATTACAGATAAATCATAATAGGCAGTAATTGAGCAACAATAATGTAATTTAACTTCCAAAAGAGGTAACTGGATAACAAGACATACCTTTAAATGATGAGTTTTGTTTTCTGCTTTATAATTAGCCAGAGTTTTCAAAGGATCACATTTCAGAATTGCTTTTTAGCCTATGGTTGGACCTCATCCCCATTGACCTAAATGTCTTCCAGGTTAGCACACCAACTGTATCACTATTCACCATATCCATTTTTGTGGGATGTGCTGCAACATTTCCCAAAGAACCTTACCTGCAACTTTGCAAAATGAATGTACTCAGACATTCTTAGTTTTTACTTAGACCAACTCTCTAAGTCCCCCTTGGACTTACATGTACAGATATCTGAAAGCAAGAGTGGGAATGTAAAGCATAATCTAATCCTCTTTCCTATAGAGATTCTATTTTATTTAAAATCTATTTTTACACTAGTTAGACTCCTGCTTTTTTGGCCAAGTACTTGTCTTGCATGTCTGACCTTGCAGAAGCTGGGATGGATCAGAGCATACTAATTAAGAGAATTACGAAGTAGTTTACGAAGCTTGCTTGCTCCTCATTTCTCTGTGATCACCTCCATCAAGCAGCCCTACCACCAGCTGGGAGAACAGAGGTATTTTTTCAGTACAGGTAGGATATAAATGCTCTGAAAGGCTGTGCCTAGAAAATTGAGCAAATGGGAAAATGTTTCCAAACTACTTGAAGGTTTAAAAAAATGTTCTAGGAAAAAAGAGTCCTATTAGCTATGTAAAAAAAAATGATTTTTTTTAAAGGTCAAAGAGTCATGTTTGAATTTGACAAAATTACATAAGAGAGAAGCTGTTAGTGTTTTCTTCAGGATAGAAATAAACCATTTAACATGTCCCTACTACCTTGAACAATGAAGTTGCATTAAAATTATCAAACTTTGAAATGCTTCTGACCGTGTGAAATTTGTGTCTGTCTGATTGACATTTGCCTGGGAGCCTGTATCTAAATAAGAAAGTGTCAGAAGCCTGTATTTAAAAAGCATAAAAATTAACTCCTCAGCAATATAGTGAGTAGCTAGACTGCTCATCTTTCTGCCCCTTTACTCCAGCTCCCCAAACTAATAAGAAGTAGCTGAGCCAGATAGAGAATAGAGGAACTACCTGATGGAGACTGAGAAGGAGAATGCCTAGCACACAACTCATACAAACTAAAGCAATCAATTTATACCCCAAAGACTTTTTCAGGCCCTACACCAAGCTGAAATTGCTTTATTTTTGGAAACTCTCACCAGTGTGATGTGTTAGGATATACTGGCCAAAATGAAGCACTGAGGCAACCACCCCCTCCATACGCTTGCACAGTGAAGTCCTCAGCAGAAGAGCTGAGAAACTGCCTTAAAGAGCGAGCCAGTGGAGTGTGGAGAACTTGGCAAATCCCAAATGAAGCTTCTGTCATCACTTAGAAAGCCCTCTCTTAGTGCAGTTGGAATACACAAGCTACAAATAACTATCCTTAACATCTGGCTGCTGCTATACAAAATGCCACGTTGCTCAGGCTGGTGGCAAATTTTGGCTTTGTGTGATGACGTCCAGTGGGCTTATCTAAACAAGGAAAGTCACTCTCACATTTGAGGAAAGCTACTTCATTTTCTCCAGGATAATAAAGCTGAGTTAACTGTCAACAGTGATTCTCATGTTACTTCTTACTTGGCAGCAGAAGTGAAATTTTTCAGTCTCTTAAGACCAGGCTCCAGCTCCTTAACCGTGCCGGGGATATCTACTCAAAGACCTGCTCCTTGCTGGTGCTGAGGACATCTGCTCAGAGACCTGGCTGTCACCTTACACGAGGTAGGAAGCCACCAGCTGTTCTTTCTCTGGCAGGGCTATGCTGCTGGCCAGTCCTTTTCATTCTTGCCTGTGCAAATTCTTGAAATGGGAGTTCTAGAGTATCTGCATTGTGGCTTCTAAAAGTTAAAATTTTTTAATGGCAGGAAAAAGTAAAGCAGTAATGGAAGAAAAAGAGCCCCTTCAGGAACCCCGAGTTTTACCCCAGAGCCAAAGCCAAGTGTCTCTACAATGTGAAGTGGATTTTTTCCCTTAAACGCTGTACTGCTATCAGCCTGAAGGAAATGAAAACATTCCTTGCATTGGTGTATTAGGGGATTGCAGGGAGGCTATATAAGGCTTCTTTTATTTTTTACTTTTTTGGGAGCATCGGGCTGTGGCCTTCTTATCCTGATTAATGTCATAATTACTCCTTTACACCCTCTTTGCATTTTTTTAAAGCTAATGGTAACCATTTACCACTTAAAGGTAACCCTTTTTACTTGTGCATCCCTGAAACTCAAATGCCCTCCTTGGAATGATTTCACTTAACAATATTAGGTTCTATTAGACATTAATTTTAAAAGCTTTTTTTAAAGCTTCCAGAAGCCAAAACGATTTCAGAATCATTTCAGCTAGTATCCTTTTTATGAGCATTGAGCAGTCTCCTACTGTAATTCTGGAAGCTTAGGAGAGCATGAAAGGGGCTCTGCAGTTGGTGCTTAAACTGGATTTTGCATTCTTGCTGCATTAAAGAAGGCCAGGAACAGATGAACAGTCTTTTGTTTTATACAATGATTGTGGTCTTTGGGGCCTAATGTTGAATTGCTTTGGGTCAGAAACTTCTCACTTGGAATCATCTGGAAAATGTGGCTTTGGTACTTGGCCCGGAACTGCATTGGTACAGATAATATTTGTTACTCCAAGGCTAATTATCAAGCACACTAAGTGAACTAAAGCAGCTTTGCTTCTTTTCAGACCGTGTTCTAAATCCCCTGACCCCAAACTCCTTTGTGATCCCGCCTCTCAAAGTAAATGCAGAGAGGTTTGTCCAGGAGGGGAAGTCAAAAAGAGTGAAATCACCTGCACGGTTTTGGAACATGAAGGTTTATGATTCCCAGGATAAATCTACCTAGTGTAATAGTAGGTGAAATTCTTTTCAAAAGATAAAAGTGAACCTATAGCACAGAGCATAAATGCTGGCTAGAAGACCTGTTCTGACCTGGCTTTGAGATGTGTTTTACCATCTTTTGCCTGAAGAAGCAACCGGTCCCCAACCAAATTTCCTTGTCCATTTGTTTCCTCATTTAAAAAGGAAGAGCACACTGAGATACCTCCAGCTATATGGATTCCTCATTCTAAATTCTCAATCCTTTGGTTATGGCCCAATGGGCCAAAAGTTTGACCTTTCCCTAGAGGGCTGGGAGAAGTCAGGTGCCATTAAAAGAATGATGTGTTTCCACCACTTGAGAAACTCTACTGTATCACTTCACATCATTAAGGTAATACTTAGCACCAAAGGTTTCCGTTGCTAACTGAAAAGAAGGAACATGAACTATTTCTGGGTCGGAACAGATCACAGAGAAAACTCTAGAAGTGAAAAAGTGCAAATGGAAAATTCTAGGAGGAAAAAGAAGAGTTGCTGTCTTGGAAACATTCCAACAGAGAGCAAATGGTGACCATAGCCAGCCCAGAGAGCCCTCCAGCAGCGTCTTCCAGGAATTATCTTTGTGAAAGATTTAGCCCTGGTCCTAACTATGCCCACTCACACGTTCTAACTGATTAGTCTATGCTCATGTGGAAACTATGAGCTCAAGATGGTTTGCAAAAGGGACAGCAAGAGAAGAGCCACGTCACAACTCCCCCACCTCCCCGCACCACCTGTCCTTGGGGAAAAAAAAGAAAATCCTCTTTTAAAAATGCATGCCTCAGGAAAATAGCTTCATTGCATTTGTTTCCATGCTGCAGAAAATCAACTCTAACTGGCTTTGATCCCAAACAGGACCAACTGCAGAATGCTGAGATTCTGCAGCCAGAAAGAACTCAGAGGCTGCCTCCATCCACCCTCCCCCCGCAACACATTCAACTTCAATTATGTGGGAACTTGCCTGGGCTGGGGGCTGCTGCCAGAACTCTCCTGGCCCAACAGAGGAGGCCCCGTGCTGCAGCCCAGAATCTTTCCTAAAAGTCCATGCAGGATTTCTCAGTTGCTGCCAATCCTTCACTTTCTCTTTGGCAAGGTTCCTGCTTCTGTTTGGCCAGAGTAATGCTGAAGCTCTCTCTTGTTCCTTTCTTCCTCAGTGCTGGGTTCTCTCTGCAGCCACTTTGCCCCTCACAGTTGCAAATAATAATGTTCTACAGCTTTTCAGAATCAGAATAACCTGGAAAAAGATAACTCACACCTAGCCCCACCTCTCTTCTCGCTTGGCCCCCTGGGGAGGACTGCCTTTTTGGTGAACTCTTTAACACTTTTCTTTACACCTTCTGAGATAACAGAAGTTATCTAGTAGGAAGGGAGGTAATTGCACTAAAACCCTGATTGGGTTACCGTTGGCTTGTGTGGACCCGCTGGGACTTGCAAAAACCTAGAAGAACATCCCTATGAGAGACCTCCTTTCCAGTGCTGGTTATCCCAGGTAGACAATCAGAAGGGCAGCTCATCTCTGTTTTACCTAGTAGGACCCAAAGCCAGCACAGGTACCTTTGCACTTGCTGAGAATTAGAGGCGGAAGCAAGCCCATCCTGTTGTGATGTGGTTGATTTCAAGGCTAGTTGACAGCTGTTGAATTCCTGCCTACCAAACCAGTCAGTGTGCTGAGTGCTTTCCATGTGCTATTCCCTTCGATCCTCCATGTCAGGCTGTGAGGTAAGTAGAGTTGCCCCATTGTACAAACCAGGAAACCAAGGCTCAGTGGGAGACAGTTCAGAACTCAGCCAGCAGACTGAGGTCACATAGCTGATTAGTGATAAGGGCAGTGCTCAATTTCAGCATTGTCTTTGTCCAAAAACTGGGCTCCTCTCTCCACTCTACCCCCTCCCCTAACTTTGGAACTTGAGCACGGACAGGACGCAGTCCCCCAGTCCCTGGTTTGTGGTTGCTTTGGAAAAGGAGCAGAGTACTGAGTGAAGACCACTTGTGTGTGATAAAACGATCCTGTCCACCCACCCTCTGCAAGCCTTCCCCTCTCCTCGTGGAACTTGCGGACTTCTGCCTGTCCTCTCTCTTACTGCCACAGGGCCTGAGCCAGGGCTCATACGGCAGGAGGCAGAAAACGCCTCCAGTGCTTTTTCCCTGCTACGTCCGAGGGCTGGCTTTGGGAAATCGCTTCATTTCGATTTGCCTGTCGCGGCCCCTTCTCTCTGGGAGGCTTGGGGTCCATTCCACCCCAACCATTTAAGCTGACAGCTCAGTTCTTTTATATAGAGTTTTATGGAAGCCGAGGTGCTTCCCCAGCTGGAAAAGTTGCTTCTGGAACAAAACTATCTAGACTCTGAGGAGTCCTTTCTTTGAGAGTATAGACTCAGTTACTGCCCTCAGAGGCACAGTCAAACAGGCATAAACAGACTAACTGGAAACTCAAGGCTTTGGAGGGATCAGCTTAATTTGTGGCTTCAATTTAATACAGAATAAATAGGGGAGAGAAAGCCTAGAATAAAATTTTATAAACTACTGAGGTCTATTATAGAGCAGTGTTAATTTAACAGGTATAAATTGGAGTGTATGTCTGTGCAAATGTCTTTCAAGAATTTTTTCTTCTCTTTTTAAAAATGCTGTAACAAGGAATCGACCTCTCTTGTTCTTAGATTGTGTACTTTGTTACCCTAGGAAACTAACACACTGGTCTTTGCATCTGTTCCCTCTGACAGCTACTCTTTTCCCTGGCCAGCTCCCATTCACATAGTCAACCTGACTTTTAAGTGTTGTCTCCTCGGGAAGACCTCCCTGTCCCCTGGTCCCTAGCGAGGCCTTGGTGGTCCTCACTTCAGCAAATCCCCTCCACCTGCTGCTTCCCGGAGGTGGGTCATTCTCAGGGATCAGTTCCTGCCTTTCTCTCCACCCTCTGTAGGTGCGCTCACCAGTTCCTATGGTTTGAATGACCATCTTGATGCAGTCAAATCC